TTATTTTAAAAAAATAAATAAATAAATAAAACAATGTTGAAAAATTATGTGATAAAATTATATTATCATAAAAAAACCTTGTTCAGGATTGAGATTTATAAATTTTATTATTATAGAAGCTTGTGGGTGAAAATTAGAAATTTATGATTAAATGAATTGAATTGCAAAATTCAATAAACTGAAATGAATTTAATCAATAATTTACAACTATTTATATCAATTTAAGATAATTCTAAAATATAAATAATTTACTGATCTTTCTGTTTTTTTTGATTCTCTTTAAATGTCAAAAACTAATTGAATTGAATATACATACATATATCGAATAAAAATATATCTATAAAATAAATGATTTTCGCTTTAAAATTGATGTAAATTTTAATAAATTCTGTCTTATTTAATATACATATATACAGAATTGTCCATATTTGACGAACCCATATTATTATTTATGTTAATCAGGATTTCAAGTGTACCTTTTTTAATTAATTAATAGTTTAAAAAAATTTCTTTAACCCGAATTACATTTAATCTATATTATATCTGGTACTAGCATTTTAATTGTTATTTTTGTGAACTTTAAATAAAACAATTTGTTACATTTGCCAACCGCCCACCCTCAACCAACAGGCAACATTGCACCACAAAAACCAGCATGGAAATGTGTGTTAAATATTATGCAAAAGTTGCAAATTGCGACTAAAAAGGCATTCGTAAAATTGCAGAGGGCAAAACATTTTAATAAACTGTGCTCATACATCAAATAGCAGGTAATACACACACACACACACACATGCACACAGCAGTCATGGCAACACCTAAGGGCATGTGCATGCCAACACACACACACACACACACATACTTGCGCACGTAATTGGCGGCAAAACAATTAGTAAAATTTCAGAGTTCACAGTAAACGGTGTCTGTATTAGAGTGCGTGTGTGTGTGTGTGTGAGCTTAAAATATATTTGTATACAAAACTGCGCATAACAGTATGCAGCAGCAAATAAACAAAAAATACATCTGACGAGCTGCCTAAGTTACAAGTTGAAGAGCAGCTGGAGAACTGGAGAATTGGAGAGCAGTCGAGGGGAGTGGGCGGTGCCGGCAACAGTTGTCTGCTGTGGGACAGGCGGTGCCACTGTGCGGCAATCTGTCAAGTGGCAAAAGCCAAAGCATTGCAACTGTTGACACACTTTGCCAATTGCAGCACTTGCTGTTTGGGGCGGGGGAGTGGGGGGTGTGGGGGCGTGACTGCAAAAACATTTTACTCGTTGCTGGACCCGTAATAAATTACCGTAATTTCAAAAACACTTAGTGCATGTGGCTGAGCGATTGCTCCAGCATGTGTGGGAGAGTGTTAGCGCGTGTATGTGTGCATGTGTGTGTGCGTGTTGTGGAGCATTAGCATACGTGCACACTTTTTTAAGCAGCTGCAAAGCATAGGCAAGCGATGTGTGGCAAAAGCAAAGGAATGTCGCAATTTCCGTTTGAAGCGCAGCAACTGGCAAGTTGCAAATGTCATACAAATACACACATACACACACACACACACACATATACACATGCTGGCATACACCTGACTGTCAAGCCTGGCTCGTTGATTGGCTGCATAAGCTGCAAAGACGCCGTAGACCCACAGAATCGGAGCGAGCTGCCTTAATGGAAAAGCTATGCTGCCTGTCACCAGCTGCCAGCTGCCACTTCTCAGCTAACTATAGATGAAACAGATCCTTTTGTAGAAATGTTGCAAGTGTCCTACTTATAGGCGCTATGGCAGCGCACTTATTAAACTAGCATGCATCAATAAATCAAATTTATTGAATAAATAAAAGATACACTCAATATACTATTACAACTGATGACAAAAGATGTGATATGATTTAGTTGAATTATTGATGTATATAAAATATTTGAACTACACAATGTATCAATCGATAACGATTGATATTATATGCATGATGCATCAAACAATGAAATGATACTTTCTTATATATTTTAATTATATAATGCATTAATATATATTAATATATGGCCTGTAATTATATAATATATTTTCATTGCACAATGCATTAAGCGATAACAGATATTGCTATCAAAATATTCGTTTACTAAAATAATATCTTTTAATTACAATAATGCATTAATCGTTAGAAAAATATTACATTAAGTTCTGTAATTATATAGTAAATTTCCATTGCAAAATGCATTAATCGATAAAGGAACATATGATATTGATATCAAAATATTTGGTAATATTTCCTTTACTAAAATAATATCTTTTAATTACAACAATGCAATAATCAATAGCAAAATATATAATATGATGTCCTCTATTTATATAATATACTGATATTGCAAAATTCATTCATCGATAACAGAAGATATGATATCGATAGCAAAATATATTATTTAATTTTCTGTATTTATATTATATATATCCTTTACAAAATGCATTTGTCGATCAAAAAAAGCAAAATAGCAAAATATATATTATGATGTCCTGTATTTATAAAATATATTTATATTGCACAATGCATTAATCGATCAATAAATATGTGATATCGATAGAAAAACATTTGATATGAGATCCAGTTTTGATATAATCTATTTCATTTGCACAATGCATTCATCGATAACAAAAGATATTATGTGACTTAATCGCACAATGCAATCGATAAGAAAATGTACGATTTGATTTCTCTTACTAATATAATATATATTTTCATCACAGATTGCATTCCAATAGCTCGAGTGTGGACTTACTACAATATTCTATGACTATAAAATCCTATTCAAACACATTCAAGTCCGATAACAAAGAAAGCCAACTGACAACGTAGCTTGATATCCTAATTAGGTAAATTTACCAGCCAACAGACACTGAGATAATGTTTAAGAGCACGTAGTACATATACCTACCTATATATATTTATAGCTATTCCGTATGCTCTGGCCAGGCAGACGCGAACGACCTCCAACTGGAGCACCGAACTTTAAGGTCTGTTACGAGTTCGATTCAGTTGGTATTTGCTGGGCCGTTTCGAGTGGACAGCAAATCAGAGTGTGACATCGAAACGTCTTCAATTTGAAATGACGAGGACAATGGGCAGTGACTGAAACATGGTCGGAACACGAACAGGAGGAGAAGCAGCAGCAGCATCTGCTGCAGCAGTTGTATGGACCGCGAGGCAAAGGAATAGCGAACGGATATGAACTGCAAGTGCGCTGCTGACTGTCAATGGGAATGTCGACGGGAGCAAGGACGTTGGGGACGAAGGCGACATCATCGTCATGCCGACGTTTGTTGTTGATGAGCTTGTTTTCGAGTGTCCACACACACAGCAGGAGCAACAACAGCAGGAGGTGGACTGGCCACTTGACGCTTTTACTAACCTTTTCAACTTGTTCAAACAAGTTGGCAACTTCATTCATTTTCTTGAAATGCTCGTCGCGTGCACTTGCCGCTGCCTTCAACTGGGGATGGGTGGGTGTGGCAGGAGCAGCAGCGGGAGAAGGGGGCGGCGTGGCAGTAAGTCGCATCATGTGCGCTGCGCCCCTGTTGTCGCATGTGTGTGCAACAGTTGCAAGCACTTCAAAGCGCTGCAGTTGAGCCACCCGCAAATATCAAGCATACGCCCTGAGTAACAGGCTCAAACTTCATTCAATTTGCTGTCAACAATATTGGCTGCCGGCTTGAGGCATGCCTTTTAGCTGCTGCTGCAAACATAACTGAAATGATGCGGAAAATTGTGTTGAACTGCTCTGGCAAAGTATTTTCAACTGAGCTAAGATGGATGCAATATATACATATGTATATATATAAAGGAAACAAATTTTACTTCCATTGCTGGCCAATTCTTATGTAAAAGCATTTTCATTTCGGTCTTTAAGTATTTAATAACGAGTCAAAATCATGGTCTTTAAGTAGCCCTGGAATACCCCCAAAACTGTCGTCGGCCTTGTGATGGCCCCGCACATGAAAATGAAAACAATTTGCCAGCCAAGGGCAATAAAGATGCCGCATTCAAGGGGCTACAAATGTCTGATCATCTGGTCATGGAAGTCTCTGCAGATGTGTGTGTGTGTATGTCTGTGTGTCTTTATATATTATATGGCGCTGTGTGCACATGTGCCTCTCATTGGCGCTTTATTGTGATGTGCACACGAATATTTATCTCGCATCCTTTGCCTCCTTGTGCCTGGCGCCTGGCGCTTGGCGCCTTCGTTGCTCCTTATTTGTTTAGCCTGGCATTTTATTTTTACTGTTTATAAGCTGACAAAATTGTTTGGCTGCTCTTTATATTTGCGGGCTCGTTGACGCTGTCGTCGTTAAATGATTCTCCTCCTGCCTTATGTTAACGGCCACACTGTGTGGCTGAGCGTAATAAAAAAGGGCCGCAGCACATAATTGGCTCGAGCTACTGGCCAAAATTCGGACTCGAACGCTGCTCATACGCCATGTGAGCCACCCACTTAAGAGAGATTTTTTTCAGTTTTCAAATGGTTTCTTTTTTGTTTTTGTGTGGCCAGCATCAAAGCCGAATCAAATCAGCTGCACCCACCCACACACACACACACACACACACACACGCTCACGCATATTGGAGAAAAAACATTCGGTTTCGGCTTTGCATTGATAAGCACTGGAAGCGTTTTTCAATTTCATGCACTTGACTGCGGCCGCTGGGCACTCGTCAAAAATAAAAAAAAAATTAAAAAAAAGGCAGCAGCAAATCCCCCGATTGCTAGCCACCAAATCCTGCCCAATGGACATTTCCTCATCGCTGCTCGCATTGCGTAAGCAAATGCGAATCTCCTGCAGAATTCCGGTCTCTCCAAGAGTGGGCGTTATGTATGTGCATTTTTCGGCTTTTCTCTCGCGCTTCGCCGGCTTTAGAAAATACCTCCAAAAATAAAAAAAAAAAAAAAAAAACAAATGAAAACTGATTTTTTTCTCTTTTGTAAAAACTGTGTCAACTGCTTTTGTTTGTTTTTCGGCTGGCAGGCAGGCCCCTGGGCGGCCTCTGTCAACTGACATTAGTTTTAGTTTTTCTTCCACATAAATTTCGGTAAAAAAAAAAAAAAATAAATAAAAAAAATAAAAACCAAAAAAAAATTTTAAAAAAATATTTACTCAAAAAAACTAAGTAAAGCCAACAAGAAATGGCTAACTCTGGCACGCCCAGGGCAGCTTCAACTGATGCGAACGCCTTGGAGCTGCAGCGGCTGATCTCACGCAGCTACAAATCGATGAACAAACTGGTTCACTTCTACAATGGCCAGCTGCACGAGGAGCTGAGCACGCTGATGAGCTCCATGCAAGAGGATCAGCTACCGAGACGCAGCATCAGTGAACATAGCTCGCAGCTAACTGAGGCACTCGACTTGAAGTGGTGAGCTAGCTGTTCGATATATCCTGATAATAGCTTTTAATTATTATGAATTATTACAGTTTGGCAGGCTTCAATAGGCTAAGCCATTTCCTAATGATGCGGCCCAGTTGCAGCAGTCTCGATTTGCATGGCACCGCCGAATTCAGGCAACTCTAGGCCCAGCAAAATTGATTCATAGAGCTGGCAAACGGTTCGCAAGGAAATTCACCCAAGAAATGGCTTCAAAGCGCATTGCAGCACCTAACGAGTACTGACGCTTGTTCATTTTGTAAACGAGTTTTCCATATGAGTAAATCATTTTATTATCATAGCATTTCACGAATTTATGCGAATAATACACTCTGTTCTAAATATTTGGGCTACAAATTGTTTGCGTTTATCCAATAAAACTAAATGAATTACTATTGAAGTGGAATTTGAGAGCTTATGGGTAGCATTTCAAGCATAATAAATAAGTATGTTTAGAGAATATATACAAGCTGTTCAAATATCAACATTCTTGAAATGAGCTAAGCCAAAGTCAAACTCAATAATAAAATGCATTTTCATTTGTGATTAAATTGTAAAGTGACTCAAGCTTTCAATTAAGTTTTATTTCTTTGAGTATAAATATTAAGTAATATTTTCTCTCTTTTAATACTGCAATACTTAATATCTTTAGCCATTTTTAGTTAGTCTAATATGCATATGAGCTGGCCTTTTTGGTCTCGTCTGGCCAAGGGATCGTCATTCATTCTATGAACTTAATTAACATGCTGGCATTTCCAGACGTAAGGTGAGCCTACAGGGCAGACATTTTTATGGCGCATTGTTAACGCGCGTTGCATGAGCCACACACACACACACACACACACACACACACACATAGACAAAAAGAATAGCAGGAGCAGCAGCAGCTAGGAGCCGACTGGCAATACAATTTGCTGTGACAAATGCGGCCATAAACAAAAATGGCGACGCCGCCATTTTCTAGTGCAGCGACAAAATGGCTGCCAGGCTAAAGTGCCAGGCGCTGGGCGAGAATTTAATTTGGACGACCTTTTATGGAATTTATCACACGCGACCCTCGTCTCTGACAGCGGATTTCGAGTGCAGTTGGCTCGCCAATTCGCTTTGGCTCCCAGGCCGCCCCCCGCCAGCCACACAGACCTTGGTAATGAAATTTCGCTTTGGCAATTACGTGTAGCCCAATGGCAATTTGAGATGTCGCTGGGTTACGGCCACTAAGCGCTGAGCATATGTTTAGGGTAGTTAGAACAGCTCGAGTGGCCGCTGCACAAATTGTGGGCTAAGTAAGCGACGGGCCGACGGCCTTGGCCCAAGCCCCCAAATCAATTTCATTGTGCGTCAGCGGCGACAAGCGGAAAACAAAGCACCACAAATTCATGAAAAACTTGGGAAACTCAGTATGAAAACAATACGAAGAATGTCGCGTGGAGCACAACGCATCCTAGATACCCTTATACATGATGAGTACAAATATTTTATGCAGTACATTTAATATAGCTACAGCAACTCATAATATTTATCTTAATCAATTTTGATTCCATAATAAATATTGATTTATTCATTTCTTTCAGATTGTAATAAATTAAAATTTAAGCACTGGCAACTGGCTTATAATAAATATAAATTCACATAGTCAGCTCCAGCTTATTTCCAAAGGGATATTCACATTGCCCTCTGCTAGAGTATTAAAGTACATTTTGCAAAAATATTTTCATGGCTCGCAGCTAAAATGTTATTAAAGTCAATAACATCAAGAAGAGCACAATATTTTTTATGGGGATGCTAGCCGAGTCGAGGCTAAAGAAACTTTGCCAAATATGTATAAAAAGAGCTTATAAATAAAATCAAATCGATGACAAAAAAAAAAGAGACGAAAAAAGAAAAGTCATTGGCTAATGTCGAAGCCATAAAGATATAAAAAATTACATCTAAATAAAAATTTATTTATTTACATAAATTACGCAAAGTATCGAAAGAGCAACGAGCTGCACTTAGATGACAGTTAAGGGCAGCTATTGGAACAAGTTGGCAGCACCAACTGTCATTCAGCTTGCTTCCATAAAGCAATTCACTTTTGCATTGACTTGGCGGCTCAAGTCTAAGCTGTCATATTATTAAATTGGTGGAAAGCATTTGAGTTTGAGATTTCGAAAAGTTGCAATCATGAAAGGTAAAGTAACCGTAGAAGAAGAAGAACCTAAGCAGCCAGCGGATTCTTGCAAGAAAGACCCACGAAAATTGGGGAATGACAGCGGTGACGTCTTTGATGATGAGCTCCATAAGCTGAAGCTCGCAGGGCTAACATCGCACGAATTCTATGGCTCGGACGAAGAGCTGGAGCGCAAAGTGACTGTGGCCGCCTTGGCAACTGAACGCGAGCGTCAAAATCAACCGCATGATCAGCTGCTCATGGGCGAGCAGGAGCTTTCGGGAGTGCTGCGCACACTGGCAAGCGTCTATGATTTTCGAAAGGGTCGCCTGTTGAAGAAGCCAAAGGAGGCAGCAGTGAAGCCGTTGGGCGTGCCGCAGTCACCGAAGTTGGACGAGGAACCTGTTGTACCGCCTGAGCCAGAGACGGTGGTGGTGGACCAGCAGCAGCACCAGCAGCAACAGCAGCAGCAGCACCAGCAGCAACAGCAGCAGCAGCAACAGCAGCAGCAGCAGCAACAGCAGCAGCAGCAGCAGCAACAGCAGCATCAGCAGCAGCAGCAGCAACAACAGCAGCAGCAACAGCAACAGCAGCAGCAACAACAGCAGCAGCAGCAACAGCAGCAGCAGCAGCAGCAACAGCAGCAGCAGCAGCAACAGCAGCAGCAGCAGCAACAGCAGCAGCAGCAACAACAGCAGCAGCAACAACATCAGCAGCAGCAGCAACATCATCATCAGCAGCAGCAGCAACATCAGCAGCAGCAGCAGCAGCAGTGGCATCAGCAGCAGCAGCAACATCAGCAGCAGCAGCAGCAACATCAGCAGCAGCAGCAGCAGCAGCAGCAGCAGCAGCAGCAGTGGCATCAGCAGCAGCAGCAGCAGCAACAGCAGCAGCAGCAACAGTGGCAACAGCAGCAACAGCATAAGCAACTGCAGGAGCAACTGCAGCAGCAGGAACGGATGCAGCAGCAGCAACTGCAGGAATTGCAGCAGCAGCAACAGCAGCACCAACAGCCACGACTGCAGGAGCAACAGCATACGCAGCTGCAGCCACCGCTATTTATTGCTCCGCCACTACCGTATCCTTTGGACTTTCCAATTCATTTACAAGCAACAGTGGATCCTCAATTGCTTGCACAATCATATGCACGACATCCGATTCCTCGACCACTTTCCCTGGTGGCTCCACCACCTTGTCCTGTTCCTGCTCTAGAGCCGATTCGTCCGCCGAGAATGCCGGAACCACGCCGTCCTGTCCACAACAACGAAAACATCTCTCAGCGAAATCATCCAACAGGTGTCCGATATCCAAATAGACCGCGTTCACGACATCGCGATCCCCCGTTCGGGCCACCGCCTCGCCAGCCGGTGCACCGTCAGCCACTATACGCACCGCCGCAGCGCCAGCCGTCGCATGCGCCACGATCGATGCGCAGGCCCATCGTTGTTGTGCCTGCTGAACCCAACAGTTTGATAACTCTGCACAATGTGAAGCTGGTGCTGCAGGAGCTGTGCTTCGTGCCGCCGGCCTCGCTGAGGCGCTCAGATCAACGGATCGAAGAGGTCAATGTGGTGCGCAGCGTGCGCGGTGAACAGCAGCACTATCGAGTTGTGGACAGTGTGGTCGAGCTGACAGCGGAGGACTGGCATCAGGTTGTGGCCGTATTCGTATTTAATCCGCAACAGCAGTTCATTGGCTGGCCCAATGAGGACGACCCAGCGGCCATCTGTCGAAAGTATTGTGCCTTCCACTTGCAGTATACGGACAAACCGATTTATCCGGATCTGGAATCGTTGCGGCTCAATATACTGAGTCTGCCAGAGGATGACCGCAGTCAGGACACCGTTATTCTGAGGCAATTTTGGCGCAAGCTGGATCAGTACATGGAAAACAGGAATCGCCCCACGGGCTCTGCCCGTCAGAACTAAGCTGAGCTGTGGAAGTGGAGCGCACTTAACACACATATCGTCCGATAATACATAAAGATATAAAATCAATAAATGAAATTGAATAAACAGGCCAAAGACAAAGGCACATATAAAATATATGTATACACATATGGAGGGATGATTGGGGGCGGGGCTGGGTCGGTTTATCTTGATGTTAACGACGATAATAAAAAGTGTACCAGCAGTGACGGCGCATCAGAAAAATATATCACGTAAGTATAAAAATCATATAAAAACGTTGCGAAACTGCAAAGTTGGCGAAAAAATTAAGAGCACAAACAAGTCAATGGAAAAGAGCAGGGATACGGAAAGAGAGAGAGAGATAGTCAGAGAGAGAGAGAGGGGCGATAGGGCAACGGTCTGATAAGATAAGCATGGGTGGAGTGAAATGAAACGCACGCGTAGGACAACAGCTAAATGGCACACAGCGGAGCAGTTGTCTTATATACGAGAATAAGCCTGCGTGTGTGTTTATATACATATATAAGTCACTGTGAGCGTCCCATAGCACAGTGGGCAAATAGAGTGTAGCTGTGCGTGTGCATGTGTGTGTGTGTGTGTGTGTGTGTTTATAATGGAGCTTAACACGTCGCATAGAAATCACTGGTAAAGTGAAACTTTTATATTTAAAAAGTGCGTGGCTAGCTGCAGACTGAAGCTAGATAAATCGTTATAAACTAGTGCAACCAAGGGACGAGATGTGGCAAAGGCAACTCTTGCAGCCTGCAACGTCACAGAGATAATAAGTAGATTAACTCAGAGCATAAAAATGATAAATATTATTAAAACTTGCGTTTTGAAATGAGCTAAATGTAATACAGATTTATATCAATCTATATATAAGAAATATATTATTTTCTTTTTGTTTGACAAATATTAAAAATTGCTTATAATACTAAGCAAACTGTAGCACAAACTCCATTATATAAATAAATTATAAATATTAAAATATGTATATAAAAATTAGCTAAATACGGATATATATTTATATAAATCTAAAAATTATAAATATTAAATTTACATGAATTCAAAATGTTAAATTTTGATAAATAGAAAAAATTGCATATACAAATTAATATAAAATATTTATTTTCTATATTAAATATTATATAAAAGCTTGCAAAGAAATTTAAATAAATATTTATATGACAAATATTAATTTATCTATATATTCATAATATAAAAAATAGCATGTAGAAGTTATATATGTAACAAATATTTTAAGAAATCTAAAAATAATAAATTATAATTTTCTAAATGACAAATATTAAAAATTTGATAAGGTAACACTGATTTCTATAA